ACTTTTAAGAGTATATATCGCGACTAGAGCGTTATTATTATCTTTTCTTTTCTTTTTATAAAGCGTTAATAATAAGATTATTTAATTACTCTATCTCTTAATAAGATTATTAAACTTAGCGAAGATAAGATAATAGCGATTACGATAATTATAAAGATTATAAGTACTTTAAATAGTATTCTTTCGCATAATAAGAAGTTTCTTAATAATTTATTATTTAATTATAAGTTCTTTACGAGAAACGAAGCGAAGAAGAATTTCTTATATTCGATATAGAAAACTCGTTTTTTAATAGATTAAACTATTATTAATAATAAAGGCTATTTAATATAGACTCTTTTAAATAATATAGATATCTTATAATCTAGATATATAATAAGACTTTTATATAATAAAACTATCTATCGTTTTTTTTATTAAACTCGATTGCTTACTTTAAGTAGAAAGTAAAAAATCTATTAATTATCTTCGTCGATTTAAGATATATAAAGAAGTCTTATTATAATATTAATTAGAATAAGTAAAGGCCTATGAATTAAATTCATAGAGTTGGATTTTTCTAAGTTAAATCGAATTTTAGCCCTAGCCCTAAGTTAAATCGAACTCTAATCGCTTACTATACGTTTTTAACCTACTTCTATTACTATAAAATTAATTTAATCTATATATAGAGGTAGTATATAGATATATATATACGAAGAGAGGCGCGCTAAGGCCTAATTAGAAAGATATAATAATTATCTATAAAAAATAGAGAAAGACTATATTCTTATAATAAGAAGTATCGAAATATCGAAAAGAAATGGAGATAACGTGCTAATTAGTGGTGTGAATCCCATAATATCTTCTATCGTAGTGAAATTTTTCGAATAATAAAATAGCTGTAGATATCGGACGATTTTAATTCGTTTAAATATGCATCGTTTCGGAAGTAATAATTTGATGTGGAACCGTAGAGAGCATATGACGTAGGATCTTGGAGAGCTGAGCCGTGTTCTTAGTGCTGAGGGCCTTATTGCCGCTTGGTTTCTCCGTAGTGTTCTCCGCATTCGCCTACTGTATTAACTTCTCTTATACTAGCTAAGTGAATTAGTATAAGACCGTGAAGAGTAGACCTATTATATTACTACTGCTAATGACTATCTCCGTAATATTCTCTATAGTATTCTCCATATTCGCTTATTATAGATTCTCCTCTTATTTAATTAAGTACGAGGGTATCGAGGATAAATATATTTATATTAATGGAATTGATAGAATTAATAGAATAGTAAAAGAAGAATAGTTATACAAATAGATAAAAGAATTATTATTCGATTTCGAACGCGTCTAATATAATTATTATATTTAAATATTAATTTAATCTATTATTAATAGACTAAACTTCTTAAATTATATCGTATAGACTTTATAGTATATAGATAACGCGTAATATAGCTAACGAGCTTTGCTGAAGACTAAGTAGAATTTAAATAAAAGCTGAAAAGATATAAACTATCGAAAGAGTTATTATTAAAGAAGTCTAATAATAGATCTCGTAATAGAGAATCTTTAATAGCGTCTTTCTCTCGTTTAAAAGCTTTTTCTTAATAATATTTAGAATCTAATACGCGTTAAGAGACTTTAAAATAGAGTAATAAAGAATAAATAGAGAAGAAAAACGCGTCTTAAAAAGGTAGTATCGCTTAATTAAAAGGTATTATCGCTGACTTAAGAGAAGTATATAGAGGAGAACGATGACTATAAATCCGTTCGGGCTCTTTTTAAGAGTCTTTTAACGCGTTTATAAGTAGTAATAGATAGCTATTAAACTACGGTCTCGATTACTAGTAGTAGCGAATTCGCGAAGAGATAATTTAAGGGCGTTAGTAGGGGCTCTAAGAGGCGAGTAAAAGAGGTATATATACCTTAGACGTTAAGTAACCTTTAAGCGAGGGATATCGAAGATAATTATATTTATATTAATGAAATTAATAGAATAATAAAAGAAGAATAATTATATAAATAGATAAAAGGATTATTATTCGATCCCGAACGCGTCTAATATAACTATTATAATATTTGAATATTTATTTAATTCACTAATAGTAGATTAAACTTTATTATTTTTACAGCGTTAGAAAGCGTAAAGCGAGCTCTACAATTTAAGAAATTATAAAGTAACTATATATATCGTAAGCTAAGTACTTTAAAGTATAAAACTTCTATATATAAATTTTTAATAAGAGAGACGCGAGAGAGCTATCGGGCTAACTTAGTCGATTTAATTAAAAAGCGTATAGAACTCGAATTTATAATTAATTATATATATAAATTTAAGATTTTTAAGCTTAGCTCTATCTTATTCTTTTATATATATTAATAGAGATATATAATATAGATAAGATAGAATAAAATAATAAAACTATTAAATTATATATATAAAAAGAAGATATAATATAATAGAAGATATCTTCGTTAAGATATTAGATTATAGAATTTAATAATATATTAAAAATACGTTAATAATAATATAACTCTTTTAAAAATAAATAATTTAAGATACTTTATTAAAAATTAAAAAAAATTATAATATTTAAATAGTTATTTTATAGAAAATTATTTTTTTATTAGAGTGCGTAGTAAAAAGTTATATATAAAAGAAACTACTTATTTTCTATTTCGATTAATTTTAAAATATATTATATAAAAAATAATTAATATAGCGAATATCGAGTTTTCTTTTTAAACTCTAGAGCTATTAGAGGGTAATAAAATCCCTTATCGATCTTAGTAAATTATTAAAATTCTTTTCTATTTAGAAATTAACTAATTTTATTTATATTACTTTATAATAGACTTTAATAGATTTAAAACTTCGTTCTCTAGTAAAAGTTATCTTAATCTAGAAGATTTATAAGTAAATATTCTTAGAAAGATTTAATTTTTTAATACGATTAACGAGAATAACGTATAAATAAGAGATAATAAGAAATTACTTAAATAAATCTATAAAGATTAGAATATATTTAAATAAATTAAATAATTTTAATATAAATAATAACGACTATTAGATACTTCTATAGCTATTAAAATAATTAATTAAATTAAAATTAGCTATCGTATAAAGCTTTTTAATAAAATACTTAATACTTTACTCGATTTTAATTAATTAGTTAGAAATTAATACTACGAAGCTTAAATTAAATAATTTAAATTATAAATATATTTAAGAATATTATAGAAGAATCTTATAACTCGTTATTATAGAGTTAAACTATTTAAAAGATAGAAAATTAAGAAAATTAATTAAAAAAAATAAGAATATTAGAGTTAAATATAGTAATAAATATAAATATTATATAATTAAAAACTTCTAGAAATATATATATTTTATAGATGAGATATATATAGATTCTAGAATAATTAATATATATAAAAGAATAAGATAGAGCTAAGCTTAAAAATCTTAAATTTATATATGCAGTTAATTATTAATTAGAATTCGCTACGCTCTTTAATTAGATCGGCTAACTTACCGCGGGTAAATAAATTAGCGTCTATAACTATTAAAATCTCGCCCTTCCGCGCCTTCCTTATTAAAAAAATAGGTGTATATTATTAACATATAGAATAACTTTTTTATTTTCTATTAAAATTTTAAGATTTCTTTTTTAAATTTTGAAACGCTGTTTGTGCTTTCCGAATTTTTAAGAATTTTGAAATTTAGTCTTATAATTATTAAAGCGCAAGGAATTCAAATATCGCTTATCAAAGTTCGCTTATTAAAGATCGCTTACCTACTTACTCGATAGCCCTAATTAAAAAAAATGATTATGAATTTAATTCATAGGCCTTTACTCGTAATATATAAAAGAGTACTATATAAAGAAGATATTACTTTAAAATCTAAAAATCTTTAAAAAATATTTAACTTTTAGAACTTTAAATTTTATATATTTATAGAAATCTCTTAATATAAAATAGATAAATTATAATTTTATAATAATAAGAATAATTCTTTAAAATTTATAAATTTAAAAGAAAGAGATTTCGAAATAATTTTAATATCGTATAGCGAAGTAAAAGATTAAAAGAAATTATAAAGTCGAGATTAAATTTAAAGAGAACTTAATAACTTAGATCTATTATATTTAGAAATTACTTAATTTATATTCGCTTATATTAAAAAGAATATATTTAATATAATAGAATTATTCTTTAAGAAGATAACGATTTAAATTATAATATTAGATTAAATAAAACTTTATTAAAAAAAGATATTAAAGACGTAGTTTAATAACTTAAAGATAATAAATAAATTAAGATTTTAATATATTTAATCTAATTATTAAATCTTAACGTAATAGAGATCTATTAAAATATTCTATTTTAAAGATTAAGAAAGAAAGTATAATATATAATTAATTAATTAAAATTAATATTAAAACGAACTTAGGCGTTAATTTCTCTAGAATAAATATAAGTACGTATTAAAGAAATATCTATACGCTATCGATAGCTAGTAAAAAAAGATAATTAAGCTATAAAATTAAATAGATAATAATATATTAGCTAAATAGTTCATGAAATTAATGGAGAATGAAATTTTGGTGGTTTGCCAAGACCGGCAAGGGGTGGGGGAAGGGCCTTGCGAAGTTTCGGCCCGGAAAAAGGTATTTCCGACCCACTACCACCAACCCTTCCGAATACCAGAAGTGAGTTATGACGCTGACGAATAGCGTCTTGGCACTCCATCAAAAGCCGCGGGGATTCTTAAGTCTCTAAAACCCTGCATCCCTGCATCTGACGACGCGCAACACAACAAAGGTCTTACACTTCGCTTGATGACTTGGCTTTCCACCCCACGGCTTCGATGCTTAATTCCCGCCAATTGCCTTATTACCATTCCAACTCTTCGGTCGCCCTGTGTCTTCCGCTTTCACTGTGGGCGCTGGAATACGTTGCAAAGATATCCGAGAGGTGTTTTCTCCACTACACAACCGTCTCATTTCGACATCATGGCGATGGGCTCTGCTTCGTCCGCCCGCTTTCGCCCGATATATAACTGGCAGGATGATGTTGAAGATCTCGAGGACTATCGTTGGGGGGGCTATCATCCGATCCGACTAGGCGATGATTTGTCCAACAGGCGCTATTACATCGTGCACAAACTTGGATATGGGAGGTCTTCAACTGTCTGGCTGGTCAGAGACCGCGTGGAGAATCGATACGTTTCTCTCAAAGTCATCACAGCAAGACACTCGAAGCTGAGTCCGGAAGTCGACGTTAGGAACCGCTTACGTTGCGGAGACCGGCATCATCCGGGTCACCCCTTTGTTCTTTCTCCACTGAATGAATTCTACATTGATGGACCTAATGGCCGCCACCTATGTCTGGTCAGTGAGCTGGCTGGGCCGAGTATCTTGGAGGTGAAAATGGCGGCGGAACATGGCATGCTATCAATTGAAGCTGCGCAAAATATCACTGCACAGCTGGCCCTAGGATTGAGTTACGTACACTCTTGCGGTGTAATTCACGGAGGTTAGTATCCTCCCTCCCTCCATGTCTGGGCCTTCAATCCGTTCCAAAAACGAAGCTTGACGTTGCTCACGCTGTATCAGATATACACACGCACAATGTGGCGTCTCAAATCCCCAATCTCGATTCCTGGACTGCGGAGAAAATCTATGAAAATTTTGGCGAGCCGGAAAGGAGCCCGATATTACGATGCGACAATGAGCCCTTAGGTCCAGAGGCTCCACCTTATGCGGTTCCACCAGCTTATTTCTGGAGCATAGGTGAAGAGAACCTGACCAAGCAGATAAAGATTATCGACTTTGGTGAGGCATCCTTTTCCCAGGATGAACGAAAGAAATTGCACACCCCGATGCCGTTTCGGGCCCCCGAGTCATTCTTCGGTGAATTGATAGGACCGGCGGCCGATGTTTGGGCCTTTGGTTGTACAGTCTTCAACGTCTTCGCTAATGGTCAACTCTTTGATGGCTTCATGTCGAGCGAAGATGCTATCCTGGTTGGGATGGTTGACTCCTTAGGCGTTCTTCCTCCTCAGTGGTGGGAGAAATGGGAATGCCGAAGCTACTACTTCTCGAGCGACAGAACACCAAAGGCCAGCATTACCGCCCATGATCCTGGGCCGTCGAAGCCGCTTGCACTACGAATACAGGAGATGAGATCTAGCGGAGACCAGTCGGAGGGAGCCCTCAGACCGTTCAAACCCGATGAGATGGTCAACCTACAAAATCTTCTGGCGGCCACTCTGAAGTATCTTCCATCCGAACGGGTAACGGCCGATGATGTTTCGAAGCTGGAGTGGATACACCAGTTATTCTTAAGATCAAGAACCAATGAATCCGATGCCTTATAGACTAACCCTCTGCCTTCACAGACAATGCGCCAGCCAACCACATAGTTGACCCGAGTAGACCTGCTAGCATGAGACTGTTCATGATAAATATTAAGATGTTAGGGGGATGAGGGCGCGGGGAGAGGATATATGTAAGATCCTCGTGAGCTTGGGAGGGGAAGATTGAGGCTAGCTAAAATGGAATGTAGAAGGGCCGCTTCGTGATATGTGGGAGCCCTTTCCGGTAATGGCGGCGGTTACAGTAGGATAGTGACGTTGTAAAGAGAAATTAATTCGTATGCCCGGATAAGACAGCCACTATTTAATAAAGAAGAGAATAAGTAGTTATCTTATTATAAAGAACAGTATTTCTTTATTCGACTTTTTTCAATTACCGTTAAATTCTCCCTTTCTTTCTTTCGTCTCGCTTCGAGACGAAATTCTACTTTTTTTTAAACTATTTCTTATATCTAGAATTCTTATTCTCTTAATTTCTAATCTCTTTATATATACTTTAAAAACGTAGATAATTTATTAATATAACTCTTATAAGATACGATATTATAGAAAAGTATAAGATAAGTAATAAAATTATTATATAGTTTAATAATACTTTTCTTAATAAATCTATTAAAATACTTTTATTAGAATAACGAGATAATTTTAATTTAAAAAGCTCGCTTTATATAATATTAGTATATATAAAAGAATAAGATAGAGTTAAATTAGAAAATCTTAAATTTATATATATAATTAATATTAAATTTAAAATTTCTACGATTTTTAACTAGATCGACTAAATTATCGTAAATAAATAAATTAATATTCGTAATTATTAAAATATCGCCCTCTTATATCTTCTTATTAAAAATTAAATAGACGTTATTAATATATAAAATAACTTTTTTATTTTCTATTAAAATTTTAAGATTTTTTATTTAAATTATAAAACGAAATATAAACTTTTAGATAAAAAAAGAATTTCTAAATATAGTCTTATAATTATTAAAGCGTAAGGAATTTAAATAATACTTATTAGAGTTCGCTCGATAATAGAATAGCTCTAATTAAAAAATAGATATATATTATTTAATTTTAAAATAACTTTTCTATTTTCTATTATAATTTTAGAATTTTTTTTTAAATTATAAAATAAAACGTAGGCTTTTAGATAAAAAATTATTCTTAAATTTAGTCTTATAATTATTAAAAGATAAGATATTTAAATATCGCTTATTAAAGATCGCTTATTAAATTTACTCGATAGCTCTAATTTAAAAAAAAAATATAAATTTAATTTATAGATCTTTACTCGTATTAATATAACATATAAACATAAATATAAGTATTATAAATTACTAGATTATAGATTTAAAAATACGAGAATATCGCGCTTTATATATAAATATATTTATTAAGTTTTAAAAGCTTTAGATATTAATTAGAGCTAGATATAATAATATCTTTCTTTCTAAAACTACGTTTTTATAGTTTTAAGATAAAAGAAATAGTTTTCTACTATCTCGAAGACGTAGTAACGAAGCTATTTTGAAAGAAATTAGCTTTAAATAACTTAAAAGTCTTAATTATAATAGCGAAATATAATTTTAAAAATCTCGAGTAGTTTATATTAGTATCTATAATAGAATAAGATAGAGCTAAGCTTAAAAATCTTAAATTTATATATATAGTTAATTATAAATTTAAATTCGCTACGCTCTTTAATTAGATCGACTAAGTTATCGCGGATAAATAAATTAATATTCGCAATTATTAAAAAAATAGATATATATTATTAATATATAGAATAACTTTTTTATTTTCTATTAACTTTTTAAGATTTTTTTTTAAATTATAGAATAAAATGCGAATTTTTAGATAAAAAAAGAATTTCTAAATTTAGTCTTATAATTATTAAAGCGTAAGGGATTCAAATATCGCTTATTAAAGTTCGTTCGCAACTATTAAAAAAATAGATGTACGTTATTAATATTAGTATATATAAAAGAATAAGATAGAGCTAAGCTTAAAAATCTTAAATTTATATATATAATTAATTATAAATTCGAGATTATTACGTCTTTTAACTAGACTATCTAAGTTAGCTCGATAATTCTTTCGAGATCTCTTATTAAAAAATTAGTATACGGAGATTACTATCGAAAGTTCTAAACATATACTAAAACTCTTAATATTCTTAGTATTTCTAATATTTTAAAAATCTTTTAAATAGCTTTATAATCTATATACGATATTTTATATAATTATATATATATTAATTTACTTAATTAGCTAAATTATAGAGTCGCTTATTTTCTTCTTTACGATCTTTTTAATACTCGTTATCGTCTTATAAACGAATAACTTTAATAATATATCTAGATATACGCTATATTTACTTTTAAATTCTCTTCTTATTATAAATTATCTACTTATAATAGAAGCTAGAAGCTAATAGCTTAGTATAGCTTAATATATATATTTAGATAACTAGATCTTATAGAAGAAGAATTATCTTTTTATCACTCAAGAAACGTCTTTCTTAAGAAACATCTTTTTTAGAAATAAGATTTCTAAGAATCTTATACTATTATAATAGTAGTAGCAATATCTATATAGCAACAGTAACTATTATATAATAGTCTACTACTAGAAATTAATAGAGTCCTTCATTAACACTAGATTAATTCGAAGTCGAGGATTCTCGTGCTTCTTCAAAATATAAGAAGTAAAGAATCCTCGTACTTCTTCAAGATATAAAAAGTAAAGAATCTTCATGCTTCTTCATCTTTCACTTCTTTATCTTTCGCTTCTATATATTCGCTAAGCTAGCTTCTTATAATATAATCATTTAAGCCTAACAGCTATAAGATTTTATTATCTTCGATTATTAAATAAGTTTTCTTATTAATAAAATTACTCGAAGGGTTATTTAATATCTTACTAAGAATACCTTTAGATCTACTAGATTAATATTATCATTATTAAAAGATTAATAAATACGATCTTATTTTTCTTCACTTAATTCTCTTTTCTAGTAAACTTAGCTAGAAGATTAGGCTATCGACCATACTTCTCTAAAAATAGCACTTTATTTCTTTTAAGAATCTACGACTTAAAAACGCTATCTTTTCGATCTCTCTTTTATTAGTAATACTCTAGAAGTAGAAAGATATATCCCTTTAGATTAAGCTATAAATATCTTACTTACTAAATCTTTAAATAGTAATTCTTAATTTACTACGAAGTCTAAAGATTCGTAATATCTTTTATTAAAAATCTTAAATACTTTTATTAATAAGACTATTCGTTATCGTAATAATAGTAAAATAATAGACGAAGAATTTAAAGTAGACTTTTAAGCTATTAATATAGAAGCAATTATTATTAATATTATTAATCGCTATATAAGAAATTACCTAAATCTAGAACCTTCTAGTCTATCGAGTTCGCTAGAAAATTTAGAAATATTAGACTAAAATATTACTAATAAAAATAATAAACCTCGCTTTCTTAGTAGTAATATCGGATTCTTCGATTCTTTCTATAATAGTAAATCTTCTAATATAGCAGCAGATATAGAGCATATCGAGAAAAAAACCTATTTTTAAGATATTACTATCTTTATCGATAAAATTAAGAATATTATAAGAGTTAAGAGTATAGAGCTATTACTAAATAATCTATAAATCTATCTTTAAAATAAAGTACTCGAATAATATATATATTAGCTTACTAATAATAAGAAATATCTACTAACTTATAATAATAACGTTAACGAATAGAATACTACTTTACTTAAGAGATTTAGACTTATTAAAGTATCGAGAATAGCTACTATCGTTAAAGAACGATATATACTTAATAATATTATAAAATACTATAAGTCATATAAGTATACTATAACTATTATTAGAGTTACTAAAGTAATAAAATTCGATAACGAGTATAATTAGCTTAATATTATTTAGAACGATCTTAACGTCGAATTCTAGTCTAATATAGATTTACTTATTATTTAAACTACGCTAAATTAATTTCTTATAATTATAAATATAAGAAAGAATTAATAGTAAATAAAGGCTTCGAGAATAACGAAGTTAAATATAAGTAATACTTCTTATATATTAAATCTATCTTATAAAGATAATCTTTATTTATATAATTAAGTAAAAGATATATTAAATTAATCTATAAACTCTAGTTTTTAGAATTTTAATCGGCTATAGTAGCAATCTTTAGCTTTCTCTAATTAATAAAACTATTAAACTTACAATTAATTTCAGAAACCAATTTATTAAAACGACGATTTTATTTATTAAAGCTACTCTCGAAAAGATATATAGTAAATACTATTAGCTTTATCGATATAGCGTTAAATTACTATTAGTCTAAGTTAATATTAATAGCAAAACGCGTATAGTTCTTATTAGTCTTTTTAGCTTAGTCGTACCCTATATTAATCTAAAGAAGTCTATTAAAATACTACTTAATCTTTTTAATTACGAGAGTAGTAGACTTATTAAACCTTAATTAATAAAGTAAAGAAATTCGAGAATTCTTAATGAAATCTAAATTATTCGAAGAATTTTAATAGCTTCTATAACGATTATAATAAGAAGAATATTAAAGAGTAAGAAAACGATTACTTTAGCTTTTATAAATCTTATAAAAATATAGAACTGAAGATTAACTTTATTAACTCGCCGTTATTAAAATACTCTTATTAACGATATTATAAGAAGTTTAAATCTAGAAATAAGCTATTTTATTACCTTAAGTAGCAATACTAAAATTATAAGCTTAATAAGATTTTTAGAAAATTCATTAATATTGAGAATGAGAACCCTAAGAATTCTAAGCATACTACGAAAGCAGTTTCCACACTTTATACTACGAAAATAGTTTTCACTCTTAAAATCATCGAATCTACTATCGTAAAACCGTCTAAATATAAATAAGAAATCGCTTTTCGTAATTTTTAGTATATTAAAATAAATACTCGCCTAAATCTAAACTCT